TCTTTTTCTTTTTTTTTTTTGCTGACAATCAATGTTAACACTAAAGTAGCTTAGCAACTATAAAGTCTAAAAAGGAACTATAATAGTGTGTGTATAACATAAAAATAAGCACATATATATTTTATATACACACAAAGACATCTGACCTTCATTCACATTTGAATTCCCAGCTTCTCAATGTCTGTACCAACAGTCAAGAGGGGCACCTGCCCCACATTTGTGACTGACACTGAGAAAGGAGATGAGCCTGAGGCCATCCTGTGCCTTTTTTTCCCAGGGACAGATTACCCCTTCCCGAGTACCAGCCTCACTCTGGTGTTTACCCACAGGTTTAGGGATCCTGCCTTTTTCTAAGTAAAAAATTCTTCTCTAAATTCTTTGCAACCAAATTTGGGTCAGAACACAAAATTGGGAGCCAAAGTAGTTGAAGAAAATAAAAGTAAAGCAAAGGAATATATTTCACTCTAGATTATTTTTTTTAAGTCAAATTACCCATAAAACTGAAAGAGTACATGCATACTGACTGTAACTTGAGATAGAGGGAGGGGGATTTAGAACATATGGAGAGAAAGAAAAACTATTTCATAAAGAAAGGAAGGCATTTATCTCTACTTTAGTAAGCTGAAGAAGCATATAACCTATACACCATTAGTAATTTTGGAATCCTGTGAATTGCACACTTGGGGCAGTGATGGATACAGAGGAGAACTTTAGCAATGGTGGTTAACCGAAGAGAGAGAATCTCCAGGTACTAATCTGTTCTATATGGAATCCCTACACTAGTGTCTTCAGGAGGGAGAAAAAATAAATAGCAGACCAAACTTGGTAGATTTCTAAAACTACATATATGATAAATATGGATCACTAACTTTTACACAGGCAATGGCAAATTAAAATTTGGGGAAAGAATTATTATTCAATAATATCTTACATTTTCCAGTATCTTTTGTTTGCTGGACAAAAATTAGTTCCACTCACATGTTCTTAGGCTCCTTGGGACAAATAATGCTAGGCTTTTTTTTTTTAAAAGATTTTATTTATTCATCTGAGACACAGAAATAGAGAGGAAAAGAGAGAGAGAGAGCATGAGCAGGGAGAGAGGCAGAGGGAGAGGGAGAAGCAGGCTCCCCACTGAGCCAGGAGCCCGATGTGGGGCTCGATCCCAGGACCCTGGAATCGTGACCTGAGCTGAAGGCAGACACTTAACCATCTGAGCCACCCAGGCGCCCCAATGCTAGGCTATCCTTAAGTATCTTAAGATTTATCACCAGACATGCCTGAGTTAAGAATCTATGTGGAATAAAATGAAAGGCACAGAACTAAGCGTCAGTCAACATCATCTCTAGGCCTGCCTCTGTCACTGAGTAACTGATCCCAGCCATGTTACTTCAATGATGTGATACATCAATATTTCTAAAATGAAGTAGTCAAACTATATAACTTCTAGTTCTAAACCCTGTCCTAATTTCTAGTTCTTATTTTTACTTTTTTGAAAATGTATTTCTATCAAAGTAATACATACACAAGGTTGTTTCCTAAAGGTCAGTGTCTAAGGGAAAAAAAAGTCAATATAAAAACTTCCCTGATTCACCTTTGTTTGGGATGAAATACAAAGAGAAGAATAAATAACACCTGTTATTTATGTTAGTGTAAAGAAAAAATAGAGATGAGAATACCTTCTCCTTTTCTTTAATTAACCACAGGTCCTATTAACCAGATTTCTGCAAATCCTTCACACAGTCATTTCTTAAATCCAAATTAGTTTGGTTCTACACTATGCTCCTTTCTACCTGTTTCATTTCTAAGCTTATCATGATGACAAACATGTCTTCTGAGTTAATGTGTTATAATAATCTGGAAAAAGGTAATAATTTTTCACTTATTAGCTATCAGAGCTGAGCAAGTTACTCTTAGCTTCAATGTCTGAATCCATAAACAATAATCTCCCTTAAGATTATTGAAAAGATTAAATACATGAAGGCACGGTAACTAACACAGAAAAGTGCATTTAATAAACATTTGTGTAGTTCAAAGGTATGACATCTATCCATAAAAGTTGCTTAAACAACTCATTCCCTAGGTAACAGCATATTCACTCCAACAGAGGAACCTGGAACCTAATGCAACTAGAATGTTTAACTAATGCGACTGTTAAGTATTATTTCAGAAATGCAATTCAATAAACACGTATTGAGTATTTATATGTGCCAGGTAGAATAATGCTAAAATTCCAGAATTCCATGATTTTGACAATGACCCACCCTCCAAAAGCTCAGTCTAGAAGAGACAAAAATTATAATGTCATTGAACAATATAATAATAAAAGAATGTATATGGAGCAGAAGTAGCAGGGTGAGGCAAGTAACTCCTTCTGCCTAAAGAAAGAGGAAGAGAAGAAGCAGGTGGCAAAGGGGAAAGGGTATTTTGAGAGCAAAGATGGGTTGAAAGCCTCGCTCGGCCATTTACTAGCGATAGGATTTGGGGCAACTGACTTTGCCTCTCTTCTCTGCAATTCTACTTTGGAAAGTTATTCTTAAGATTAGAAATAATATATGCAAAGTGCCTGAACATAGCAGGCACTCACGAAGTAAGTGGCAGTAGTCTTGTTTTAGGAGGGGTGTGTTTGCTTTGAATAGACCAAATCCTAAATGGCACTGTGGCGAGCATCTCTTGACTAACGGCCAAGCTACATATGGGATCACTAAGGTCACCAGCAGAGAAGGCCACAATGAACCACACCACATCAAATGTTACCACTTCCAGAACCCACTTTTTTAGAAGTGAGGTGGTTCCTAACATGTGGTACACTCCCCTGCTGGTGAAGTATATTTCTAACCTACATCTTCCTCCTTTTCTACCCTGACAAACAGAATTTTGCATATTCAGGCTCATTATTTCCTAGAAGCGGTCCCCATGTTCCTCAGTCCCACCTGAGGAACTAGCTTTGGATGTTCAGCATATCCTTTACGAAATGGCAAAGTCTGATGAACAACTGAAGACTATTAAGATTATATGAAGAGATAATGAGAGCTAACCCTGGGTTGAAACCCCTATTATCAACCTACTGGTTAACTCATAGAACTGGAAGCCACTATAATGATTAGAATCCTAAAGTAAATATTTTAGAAATATTGTTAAATCTAGCCAAGTGGTAAGTTACATTTACACTACTTTATGGCTCCCCAAACTAATTTTCTCTAAGTAAATGATGAGCTAAGCCAATCCTTAACAAATACAAATATATATTAAGTTCTTACTTTTCACTTCACTCCTATAAACACTTATTGATAAAACATTTGAAATATGAATAGTGGATAAATACAAGCAAAGCCAGAAGTAAAATAACGTAGGCTATCTCCAAATTCAATTGAATCATGAAATGGTCTTCATGTCAATGTATTTTTTTTAGAAATAAAAACATGTCCCTGACCCTCAACCATCATGTAAGGTCAGTTTGCGCCAAGTTAAATAACCACAGATTAGAAGTGAGGACACCACAAATCAATCCAGAATCTATGTTAAATTTTATAGTTGCCACATTCAAGAAAGTCAGTGTCTTTAAAGTCATTCTGTGGTAGAAAATTCCATAAAATTGGGGCACCTGGGTGGCTCAGTGGTTAAGCGTCAGCCTTCGGCTCAGGTCATGATCCCTGAGCCCTGGGATCGAGCCCCACATCGGGCTCCCTGCTCTGCAGGAAGCCTGCTTCTCCCTCTCCCCCTCCCCCTGCTTGTGTTCCCTCTTTCACTGTGTCTCTGTCAAGTAAAAAATCTTAAAAAAAAAAAAATTCCATAAAATTTCTCTACAGATATCTGAACTCCATATCCAGATTTTATAATAAATAAACACATATATTACTATATTATAAATGATATTCTAGATTTATCATATATGTAATACACATGTGTATGTAATCTGTCAGGACAGGTTATATTTGTAAAATACTCTTCACACTTAACCAGTTTGACATAACGTATTTTAAATGTTCCTACCAAAATTAGCTTTATACGTTTGCAAGAATTAAATCCTGAGTATGTTTTTAAGTTTTTTCCCTGAGAAGCAGAGACTGAGGAGTCACCAAATTGCAATTGAATCTCTTTCTTCTAACCACTAATCTTTAGAGAGGATTTTTTAATTTCAGAAGTCAAAGAATTTCCACATTAACATATAACTTCCTTCACAAACCAAACCTACAAATTCGATAAAAAATCAGTATTACTGCTCACTTTTACAACTAAAATTGAGGTTAATTATTATAATGTAGTTAAGTCCAATTCCCTCTTGACAGCCTTGACGAATGAAGGGAAATGCAAAAAAAAAAAAAAAAAAAAAAAAGCAAATGTCACAGAAGCGGCAGCTTGAGGCTAGAGGGAGAGACAGACAGACAAAAGGAAATAAGACGGAGAAAATACATGGTTAAAGCTGAAATGCTTAGAATGCACTAGATCTTGGCCCAAGCCCCCGACCCACTATAACCTACTTCATTAGTCATCTAGAGGAACAACAATTTACCAGGTGAAGCAAACTAATCATTGTAAACAGAGAATTTAAGTCCCACATTCGGTTTGAGATTTGCCAGAAAGAAAAGGATTTAAGCAGCAAGAAGCAGGGTGTGTGTGTGCGCGCTTGGGGCGGGGGGTGGGGGGGATGTAAACCAACGCTAACTGTGCCCGAGTCTCAGCACTAACGCTATTCCGCGCGTACTACACGAGGCACCGCCGTCGGGAGCCCTCCCCGCGCCGGGCAGGAGGCGGGGGTCGTGGATTCTCCGGGGCGATCAGGACCCCCGGAGCGCCTGGGGAGTGGGTCGGGCGTCCGCGCCCCGGGGACCCGCGCGGAATGCACCCAGTTAACACCTTCCTGGCCAGGACCTGGGACCGCCAGCCGGCCAGCGGGGCGCGCACGGGGATGGGGCGGCAGGAGCGCGGCCCCTCCTCGCGAGGGAGAAAGGAGGCAGGGGGCGGCACCGCATCCCCGTCCCCACCCCGGGCGCATCAATTACCCGTGAGGTTCCTCAGCACCGTCCCGTGGGCCCAAAGGCTCAGGACCTGCTGCACCGACAGGTTGATCATGGAGTGGTCGCCCCCTTCCGCCTTCATCTTCCCCGGGGGGCGCCCGCCGCCCTCTCCTCGGGCGCCGGGTGGCGGCGGCGGCTGCGAGGCTCCGGGGGCGGCGGCGGGTGCGCGGCTCCTCCAGGCCGCCGCCGCCGCCGCCGGGGAAGGCTGCGGGGCGCCGGGCCGGGCGCTGCTGCTGCCGCCGACGGGCCTCCGGGGGGGGCAGCTCAGCGCGTCTCCCAGGCAGCCCCCTCCCCGCCGGGGAGACATTGAGGACGGCGGACGGGGGAGGGGTGGGGGCCGGGCGCTCTCCCTGCGCGGCCCCCGAGTGAGGACTCGGGGCGGAGGAGGCCGCTGCTGCTCCCTCTCAGGGGCAGCCCCGCACCGCGGGGGCCGGGCACGCGAGGAGGCCGAGGTCACGCAGGGAGGCCCGGGGTGATGGGCAGACGGCAGGTGCAGCCCCCGACGGGGCCCAGCTCATCACCGCCGGAGGACGAGGAAACCCGGGACCCGGAGGAGGCTGCGGCACCGGCCGCAGCGGCACCTGCGGCGAGCCTGCCCACCCTCCGGCCGCCGACACTCGAGGAACCGCCCCCTCCACCCGCGGCCGCCGGAGGGCCGCTAGTGCGCGCGCGCATGGGTCCCCACCTCCCCCTCCATCCCCGGGGCCGCTGCGCATGCTCACTCTCCTCCTCCCCGCGACCCGCCGCCCTCCGACAGCCTGCCGGCCCCCAAAGCCCTCCTCCTTCCCCTCCCCGTGCGCGCGAGCTCGCGTGGCTGACGGCGCCGAGCGTCCGCCCGCAGTGGGGCGGAGGGAAACGCGGCCTACGTCACTAGCGCCACCGCCCGGCCCCGCTGCTGATTGGGTGCTCCAACGGAGCCACCTCCACTCGCTCCCCGCCCCCAGACCCCGGGCGCGCGCCGGGGGAGAGCTGGAGTCTGGCCCCGGGCGGAGCCGGGGGCGGAGATGCTGGAGCCCGAGCGTGAGGGGCAGCCCTGACCCACCTTGTGGGGAGTCGGGGGTGCTGAAGCACGTGTGATGGATACTGTGGCATTACAGATTTTTGGCCTCAAAATGCTTTTGATAAAGATGTTTGCGTGTAAGATTTTTTTTAGGGCTTAAATATCTCAACATTTTAGATGTATTAATTTGCGGGTTTTTTTTTTTAACTGAGTCAGCTGATCTGGCTAGGTCACTACCTGCAGAATATATTTTTAAGCCGCTGAAACAGAAATAGACCCGCTTTATCATTCATCCAGTCCTTCCCGCTTCAAGAACTTGGGCCTCCCGTGGCTCTAGCATCTAAAATCACTTATTGACACAGGAATCGGCAGGTGTCCTACTCCTGAACGCCATCCCCTGGTCTAGCGCTCTTTTCGTTGCAATATCCAAATTGTGGAAGCCTCCGTTATTTTTTCCCCCTATGACTGAAACTATATTAAACTAAACTAAACAATATTAGCCCGAGGAGCTGTCTAAATTACAACTACAGCAAATTAAACTCCTCCTTGAAGCATGAAACCTTTTAACTTGAAAAATAAAAACTAATTTTTGGCGATAGCATAAACATGCACTATGCAGCCCCCTCCTCCTTTCCAGCCCTTTTCTACCCCTCTGCCTTCTGGAAAAGAAAATCTACGAAGAAAAGTTAAGAAGTTCATGTTTTGGCTAAATCACCAAGTATATTTGGCCAAAGCACAGAAGGATTGAATCACCTGTAAAATAGTGGTCTTGATGACCACTTTAAAAATAATTTTATATGTATGTAATTGTCTGTTGTATATATGTATGTGTATCAGTTTGATATCACAACATGGGAAAGGGAAATTTTTGCCTCATTAATAGGAATTGAGCCAAAACTCATAATGTAGCGTTTATCTTGTTCCTACAGTTTAGAAGTATTAGATCTTGGGGCGCCTGGGTGGCTCAGTTGGTTAAGCGACTGCCTTCAGCTCAGGTCATGATCCCAGGGTCCTGGGATCGAGTCCCGCATCGGGCTCCCTGCTCTGCGGGGAGCCTGCTTCTCCCTCTCCCACTCCCCCTGCTTGTGTTCCCTCTCTCGCTGTGTCTCTCTCTGTCAAATAAATAAATAAAATCTTTAAAAAAAAAAAAAAAGAAGTATTAGATCTTAATTAATTTAAGATTATACACTATCAGACTTAAAAGAAGCTTTAATATTTTTCTAATTCATTTTATTTTATAGGTAGAAAACTAATTCTGCAGAATTAAGTGATTGGACAGAGGTGACACCACTTGAGAGCCCAGTTTCTGAATTCCTAGTCTATGAATTCTTTCTTGCAAATGACACTATCTTTCTCACCTCACTAATTAACTCCATAATTTAAGGTTCTAAATGGGGAAGTGCAGGTTACCTAATGACAGCATTAAGAGACTTAGCATTATTTGGTCAGTGGTATTAGAGAACGTGAGCACATCCCGTGAAGGGTTTATAGCAACAGCTCCATTAAACTCTCACATCAGGAACTTTTAGTCAGTTTACATGGAATCAGTTGGGGTTCTTCTGGTTACACACACTATTATTTAAACCTGGTAGCATACATTTAAAACATTCAGGGCTTGGGGCAGTGCCTAGCACATGATATTCAATAAATATTAGCTGAATGAATAATTGAATGAACTTCATAGAAAAGTTGGCATTTTTCTTGTCTCGCATAATTTTTTAAAACTAAATCTAAGCAATTTCAGGAAATGAGAAAGTAAAACGGCAATGAAGCTTCAAGTTGATCTGTGCTTTAATAACCCGACAATTCTCCCCCCTCCTTTTCAGTTCAACTTAATAAGCATTTTTTGGCACCTATTATCCCTAATGTTCTATGTTAGGCATCATCACTAGAATTTGAAGATGAATAAGGTCCCTACTCTCTAGGCTAATGCATTGCATTTAATTTGTCTTTGCCTTGATAAAGCTAAAGATACTCAGTGTGTGGAAGCCTATATTCTTAAGAGAACTGAACATTTTCCCAATAGCCAGAGTTCTAAAACTACAAACTGAGTTAATGCAAATAGAAGTTGCGTGTGTAACTTCCTTCCTTGCAGATTTTTGATATTGAATTAATGTAGCAATCAAGGAATGGCTTAATCACACTGCAGAAGTCAGGGAATGCCTCAGATGAATCCTAGAGGTGTCTTTCAATCTTGTGCCCTTGTGCCCAATTCACAAACAGTTCCTGGTTTATTTTTTACTTGCAAGTGGGGGACATCCATAACTCTTAGGCATCCTATTCATTGTCCAGAGAGGGCCCAGAAGAAAGCTTTTGAAATCAATTGGAATATAAAATGATATTGATCCTTTGAGAAAAACATTAACTATTGAGATTTTTTTCCCTTCACTTTATTATCTTCTTTTCTTGCTCTAGAGTACTACAACATAGAGTCACATTGTTTAGGCAATCTAGTTTCATCTTCTTGCACATTTCAGTGGGTCCAAACCCTGAGGGGTGGAGTAGGTTCAATAGACCAATTATCTGAAAAATATGGTTTGAACACTGGTTCCAACACTTACTAGCTTTAAAATGGTAATAATAATATTATCGCTCTCTTCAAATTTTTGGTGTCCTTTAAGAAATGGTAATAATGAACGCAAGCTCCTTCCTCATGTCAGGCCTTGTGTCAAATACAAATTTGACTTGTGTCAAATTCACAAGGATGAGTTAAAATTTCACAACACTATTAAACTATTTTGTTTTCAAAATCCATACACAAAGCTGTCCAAATCTTCTTTGTACACACACACACACACACACAGCGAGAGCACTGTTGGTTGTTTTCTGAAGAAAATAAAATTCAGTTGGAAGAAATGACAGAAGTAAGAAGAAGAAGGAGTCATATATATTATTCTAAGATAGCTATGGCACTGAAATTTACATGTTGCAATGTTTCTCAGAACACCTATCACAGTTGAGAGACATTTCCATCACAGTAAATCAGAGAAACATTGCAGGTAGAGAGTAGAGAGTATTTCCTTCTCTAAAAGCTGCAATCCTAAAACAATGTTGCAAAATGACATTGTGGAAATTCACATCCTAAATGTAGTCTACCTACCACAATTAGAATCATTCCACTTGGCCTATCTTGGGAATTTAAAAAGCTGAAATTTCTGGGACCAGGAAATACAAAGGTGTGTCCTGTTGTATCTCCCCAGTAAGATATGGCATACTTAAGATGCCAAGCTACCATTACGGAGCTGCCCAGAAAAGGAAGAGCTTCTCCACATTGGCAATGGGCTATGACTTCATCCACAGTCATGAAGGGTCGGGGGCATGTTTGAGATGGAAGGACAGATAGATGCCTCCAGCTCCATTTTCCACCTCATTTTTGTGCCCTCCCTCCACCTGTGTATTCAAACCACCTTGTTTATTATCCCAAGTCTTAAAAAGAGAGAATACATAATGATACTTGGACTCCAAAAATTCATACTTTGAAGCCTAAATGTGAGCATAAAAAGAAGAATACTGCTAAAATCACATGCACACTAAATCCTGCATTTACAACATACAAGACTCAGTTTTCACTCTAAAAACCAGTGTCTACAAATTACCCTGTGTCCACCCTGGTCATATTATACGTGGAAGGCCAAATATAACACATAAAATAGTCTGTTGACTGAATAGCACCTGTAGATTTGTGATACCTAATCTGCACTGCATTCAGTTGTTAAATTATTTCACTGTTGAGCCAAACATCAGCAAACATTGTATGCCAAGAACAAAATGGTGAAAATGGTATTTCTTCGTATTTTAATTAACGTTTTTCTGATTGTGAGTGAGGTTACACATTTTTTCATCATGTGTATAGGAACATTTGGATTACCTTTTCTAGGGACTTTTACCCATTTTTCTTTTGGGTATTATATCTTTTAAAAATTACATGTAAGAGCTTTTAGATATTTAACAAATGCACCATTTGTAATATGCATTGCATTTATCTTTTCCATAAAGTTTGTCCATTGCCTTTTAATTTTAATAAAATCCTTTTGTCATACAGAAATTTCTGATCTTTACATTGTCAGGCTTTCCTTTTATGGCATCTGAGTCTTCAGCCATGCTTTAGAAAGTCTTCCTCTCTCTCAGATTTGATTTTTAAAGTCTCTTATAAGTTTTCTAAATAGTTTATGAGTGTTTTTGTTTACAACTTTGGTCCACTTGGAATTGTTTTAATGTAAGCAGTTTGGTAGAGATCCAATTTTTTTTTCCAGATGGCCACTCAGTTGTCCCAAAACGCTTATTGAATAATCCATCATTTTCCCACCTAAGTGCCTAAAATATCTAAACACCTAAAATGCCAGCTATTTCATGTTCAAAATTCTTTATATATTTGGATACTTTATATACTTTATATACTTGGATACTTTATATACTTTATATACTTGGATCTATTTTCAGGCTTTCATTTCTGTCCCATCTATCTGTCCATGTGTCAGTATTACACTGTCTTTAACTGTAGAATATGCTTTAATATTTAAATTCCCCCTTATTTATTCTTCGTTTTCAATTTTTTTTCAGATTAATCTTGAATATGTATTATCCCAGAGGAACTTTAAAATCAGCTTCCTAATTCTAAAAACATTGTTGGTTATATTTTTAGTGAAATCATGTTAAATTTATAAATAAATTTAGGGGAAATTGAAAAATCTTCCTCTCTTATTTTAAGAATTTTGATTTTGATAAGT